TAACGTCCACAACAGTAATGTTGACCTTGTCTAAGTGCAGTTAGGATTATGAAATTTCAAATATTCATTTCGTAGTTCACTAAGCGAAGTTATAATAGAGTTAAGAGAAGTGGATAAATGAAAAGAGTTAGATGAGGAAAATCTTTAATACTAATTACAGAATCATCAAATCCTTTCGCTATGCAATCATAATTTCAAATAAAAAGTTTAATTGCAAAATTTAATTTAAACAAAAATTCCTGTCCAATTCACTACATACAAAAAATTTGCATACCTGGCCAAGAAAGATTGCTACCACGTGGTCGTACGCGCCAATCATAATCCTTCAACGTTCGTTGTATAATCTCTTGCTCTTTCAATTTCTTTTTTGCCATAACAAAAATTAAAAATGCAAAATTCCAAAAAATCATACGGGCATTCATAATTGCTAGAAATTTCTCCTAAAAGTAGAGAAAGAGAAAAAGTAGAAAAACTTGATGAAGCATATATTTTATCCATTTCTTTTTTTTTCTTTTGTTCTTTTTACCTCTTTTATTGTTTAATGTAAGAAAAAGGAATAGCTTGAAATAAAACAACAACCGTTAAGAAAAGGATATAAAATTGATTTGCATTTTACAAATAGCATATTCTTTCTTTCTTCCTCTCTCTCTCTCTTTTTGTTGATGATTTTATTGCTCTTTCAATTTTCTTTTGCAATTGAAATACTAAATGATTACATGGTGTTAGCTAATTTAATTGTTGACTGTGAAAAATTAAACTAAAAGTAGGCACTTCTTGTTATTGTCAAAAATTACTTACATTCTATTTTGGAAAAATTTATGACACTTCAAAAATTGACTCATAGAAAAAAAAAAATCATTTAAATGTATACTCATGAAGGAATTCGATAAGAGATTATTGCATATATTTACCGATGATTAGTAAATTATAAACATTCAGTATAGAAACTGAAGAAATGAAATGTTATAATATTTCGAAAAACATTATATTTCTGATTGTATAAATTATGGATAACAATTTTGATCATTAAAATATTTCACCCATATGTGTATTTTTAATAAAATGAGCATTAATTAATGAGTTTTTCCGTAATTAATTTTAACAAGATGTTTAAGCTAGTTTAACTTTAATTTGACAGATTTGTTGTTGTTAATTAATTGATTAATTGGTTAATTAACGACAGCAAATCGTTAATTGCTGTAATTTTTAATTTCAATGATCGATTATTTTTTAAATAAATGAATTATGAATTCAAGATAATAGCGATGATAGTGATTAGAGTAGTAGTAGTAGTAGTGGTAGAAGAAGAAAAGGAAAAATGAAAGAATATAAATGAAATGAAAGAACAATCCGGAAAGAAATCTCTCTTATTGTTAGCTTATTTCAATAAGTCACCTGTATGCGACAGCTTCTTTTGCTTCGTTTTTCTGATTAAATTGTCAATGAAGCAGTCCTACTTCCTTTTTCTCTCTATCTTTTTTTTTTTAGTGATGGAAAGCTTCCGTTACTTTTCCAAAAATGCAATATCTTTCTGCTTGCAAGTGCTTTTATGCATCCTGTCACATTAGATATATCCCTTATATCTCTCTCTTCCCATATAACAGCCAATAGCTTGGCCAATTAAGGCTCATATCCAAGCTTGAAACATTGGTTGCTGTGCATTAAAAAGTGTCATCCCCTCCTCCTTTTCGTATACAAACATTAACATTTGAAATAAATTTAAGGAAAAAAAATTGACAAGTTCGCATCATTTTTTTTTTCACTTTTATTTAAAAAGGAAAGTGCTAAGTGCAACTAAAAGTCGTATTTTTTTTTTAATTTCTACATTTTAAAGCTAATTTTAGACATAAAAAGACTTATATTTATGTACATCACACTTATATGTATGCATATAAAGCATAGCACAATTTAGATTTTGAAATTAGAATGAATAAAAGTTATTAGTTGCATAATACTTTGCAAGCTTCTATGTTTATCATCTTAAACGGACATCTCCAAGATAAAGCCTGTCGACATTTATTAAAACAAAAAAGCGAAAATGAAAAAGAGAAGGAATAAAGTTAGCTCGATGTTAGTATGATTTTGTAGAAAATATAATGATTAGGTTAAAATATAATTGAAATGCTGTATATTTTTCAATAATATCTAAATGTACTGAAATAAGGGTTCTATCTATTAATATAATTATTGAAAAATTCTTGAAGGAAGATTTTTTAATAATTCAAAATAAGGTTTTTTTTTTTGGAAAATAAGAGAAAATTTATAAATAATATTGCATGAAATATTTAATCATTAATGAAAAATATTTCTCAATTTCTATCAAAGCTTCTTAATTAAAAATCCTTCTTTATTTATAACACACACACACACACACACACACATTAAAACTTTACGCATTGATA